AGAAAATCCTCGTTGTTTTAAACCTGACAAACAAGTCTATTATTAAAATGTGTCGCCTGATTGATCAGCCAAGGTAAGAGTTCAACACTATTGTTTATCTCATTAGCAATAGCATTTAATCAATAGCTTTAGCATATCGTTCAAATATCGCAGTACTATGGAAGTATGTTTTTAAAGACATATCTGACAAATATGAAGTCGTGGCAAAGTGAAATAAGGATGTTAATAATTATAATCGCACACACACACACACACACACACACACACACTTCGTATTCCCATTGTTATTAAAACATCCAACGAAAGAGCTTGGTATGAATAAATATATACATATATAATATATATATCATAAAAGCTTTGAGTTTAAATACATTTTTCATTCAATTTTTTTCATTTCGCCAAATAATATTCCTGGGCATATTTTCTATATCATTTAAAAGTTATTTTCCTTTTTATCTATGTTATAAAAGAAACAATCCAATCAACCTTTTTTACTTTAAATTATATTTTAATACGATTTTTTTTGTTTGTTTTTTGAAGCAAAAAATACATTTGTTGAGTCGTTATTAAATAATACTGAGAAATCCCGTCATTGAAAAAATGTGGCCTGAAACTGTTTCAATAGGTTGCTGATTTATTAATCATCAGATTTAATAATCGGCAGCATACCTCATTACACACAAGCTGACTGCAACTTAGAAATGTTTCTATGTCGAATTCATAAAGTAAGAGCGCGTAACCAATCAGTTCGTTAACCTCTCTTCACCTCTCGCTCAAAGTATTGCGCCTCAGTAATCCAATATCACAATTACCTCAAAATATCTCATTTCCAAACGAGATCAATTAACATTCTGCAGCAGCAAACTGCAGGTTAAAAAGCTTATCTAATAACTGGAGGAATAAAAAAATGTGTTGTGTAAAATAAGACTGCGTGACTGAAGTAATATAAGTCATGCTATTAACTTAACCGTGCTGAAGGCCTGTGAGGCCGGTTGCTCCGGTTATATTTGGATGGACCTGTGCCATAAAAAGGAGCATTTTAAACGCTAACCAGGCAGCACCCTCTGGTGAGTGTGACCCTCTCTTCTCAGTCACATTGTGCCGTCCAGGGTAACAAACAACACTGACTTTACCGTCTATTTCGGAGTTTCGTTAGGATACTTTCTAACACCGCTCATTATTTCGAAATCTAGAAATTGCATTGTACGCATTTTGCTGGCTGGCTTCTTGGCAATAAATGAGGTTGTTTTAAATATTCTCCCACCATAAGATGGATTCAAAATCTTCCCCATGTGTGAATTGTCTACAAGTGCGGGGCTTCTTCTTGTTGGGTTGTGCCATTGCTCCCCCTAACAGCTACACAGGTAAATGCATCTCACTCCAAAACGTCCTGTATTGTGCAGACCTGAAGGTTGCTGCTGGATTAATCGGTAAAAGAGTGAAAACAGGCCTGCTGTTTAGTTTGATTTGAATCTTTAAACTTTATCTTTAAATGTAAATGATAGCGTTTGACAAGGAGGAAACTGGAGCCAAGAACATTTACAAGATAGCCTAACGAACGTGTGGCCTACAGCCTAAATGGCTAAAAATAAGAAGACGGGGGAAAAGACGAAAAGTGAAGCTTAACTCATCATGCTGCACAAAATGACCCTGGGTTTAATGCTGGACATTAGCATTCCTTTATATTCTTGTGTATTTGCATAGCTGGATGTTGGCGTTGAAGGTTGTGCAATGAACTTCAGACAAGAGCAAAGATCTTTATTTGTTGCAGCTGAAGGCAGACTCCTGGCACCCACGAGCAAACTGGAATGTTCGAAAAGAGCTGCCTTTCTCCAGCTTTGGGTATTATTGATTTTCTTGATCAGAGATCAGAGTCATGCCTAAACACACTCAACACTGGATCCACTGCTCGCATGCATTTGTCTGTCAGGATAATAGGGGCTGAAATCCACACTTATCTAATCATCCACGTGGGATTGATTTTAGCCCAACTGCTGTCTTTATTTGCTAAACTTTCAAAGATGAACACGAGACTGAATTTTCGAATCCAGAAGGTTTTATTAAGGCATTTAATTAGACTTTTTAAAAACAAAACAAACAAACAACATATATTTTATTTGCTCCTACAGATGCACCCAGAGTCCAGTTTTCTGTCCATTTTTAAACTTCATTACAGCGAACATTCAGATTTTCATTAAACTGAAATAAATATCGTCGTACGATCTCTTTGCTGGTCAAAGCGACGTTATAAATTACTTTAAAACGAGCGCATGACAACTCCTTAGGGGTTACCGATATAGTTTTAACTACTTAAATTAGACAGAGGGACACGTTTCTAGTAATATTTGGCTGTCTTGAAAATCTTTCTGTCCTCCAAATCATTCCCATTTTTTCCTCCCGAGTCATCGTTCATGCTCCAGGCTCATAGACGCAGAGCTGTTGCAAAGTGAGCAGTCTGTATGCTTTATTCATAAATCCTCGTACATATTAAGAAGTGCTGGAAAATAAAACTATTTCGTTGTTTGTTTCCACTTGAACATTTGTCTTTGAAGGTGAGTGCTGTGTTTGACGTGTAAACAAAAGAGACCCACTCCGAAAAAAATAAATCAAAAATAAATCGAAACACTTTTTTGGATTTGGTTTTAAACTTGCAATGCTCGGTGCATGATATTTTAATTTCTGACATGTTGCTTGAGATACACACAAAATGCCATTATCCTCCATCTACTGTTAAAAATACCTGTAATATAATCACAAATGCGTCATGAATCGTCCATAATATGCAGGTAAAATGTTACTTTACTAACACTTTAGATAATTCCCTCTTTTGAAATCTAATTAGGGAACAGGAAGAGTCCAGGAGTTAAACAAAACATATGTCGACCGAAAGTTCTTGGCAATCGAGGAAACGTTTTCTTTTTAAAAGCACCCATCATCGCCCTATAGCTGCCAGTCTAAATGTGTGTTTTTAATACATTTTCAGTTTTTGTTACATTGAATATCTGCATTCCTTAAAAAAAAAAAATCCTTTTACACTTTGCATTTCTTATGATTATCTGAGCAACGTAAAATCAATCAATCATTAAATATTTTAATTAAAATTTACAACCCACTCGTTATGCTGACATAATACATCATTTTAGTTATTTAAATGAACATTTTCTGTCATTTCTGTAATGAAATGGTCATTCTAGAAAAAATAAAGTGTCCATCTTCCTATATTTATTTTCTTTACTATGGGAAACACCTAGAAATCTACTCTCGCAGACAAGCATGCTTGTAAACGATTACAGCCTCCAGCCTCCTTCTTATATCAATTAGTGTGTCAATTTACATTTTAATGTACGGCTTTAACATTGCATGTCCTTTTTTTCCTGGATTGAATATCTATTTAAATATAACATGATTTAAGGATGTGACATACCGATTCACACCTGCAGGCTCGGTTTAGTACAGATGCTGCTATAAATACGACGGGACGAATAATTAGCAAAAGAATTTAAACTGGGTGAAAATGTTCGAGACGATTTTAACAATTAAATTAATATTAGTGCCATAGCAATAAGCACACGCAGTCCGTTCAAATCAACGAGACAGCCACGTGGGTGAAATATTAGAGTCTCGTAATGCTTCCGTGCAGATGACAAATTCACAGGCTTTGATATATTTGGACGAAATTCTAAAATTGACTGCACAACGGGTTTAGTGATATGTGACACATGTGCCCACTTAGTCAGCAGTGATGACAAATGAAAATGGGTTGGAGTGTGGGAAATCGCCCGTGTCCAAAGGTTTATATTGGGCGTTGCAATGAGAGAACAAGCGATCCAAAGACTGGAACCCCTTCGACAAATACCTCTATTATCCATAGTACATGAACACGTAAATGTCTACATTAAACATCAAACACGCTGGCTATATATATATATATATATATTATTATCCTAATAAGCTATACTATAATCTCCCCAAACAGGTGAAAGCACGTGAGGCGTGAAAAAAGGTTTTTAAACTTTTACGCAAAAAAAAAAAAATCAAAAAAACAAAAAAAACAAAACTGCGGTTCAATATATTTTTTGGGGAAATGTGGTATTAAATAGAAAAGTATGTTTTAACGATCATGGAAATGCTGGTCTGAACAAAAAACTTTTCAAATATAAAAATATAATGGAAAAAAAGCCTCACAGTCTGTTATCTGTTTGCTCCTGGGTGTGAATCTGTGCGGATGCCTGAAAAACAAAAGTACACAATGTCTCGCATCGCCCCACATTTGTGGACTTGATTGGTCGCCATATAACCAGAGGAGCTATATTAAATCCGCAGACAAGAAATAATCCCATTTTACAGGCTTCTAATTTCTTAATTAATTGACGCATGTGTGACTGAGCACCATTTTTTTTATTTTCAAAACTGGAATCTGTCAAACTATCAAACTCAACAGATCATCTGTTCTATCTAAATGTTGTCATCTGTGTCTCAAAGTTTAACCCTTACGTGCGTAACCGGGTGTGTATCTTTGCTGCTGACGCGGCCGAAAACCTGATCTTCATCTTCAAAATCGTTCAGGTGTCTGTGCTGAGGTCGGGGTTAAGGCGAATGTTAGGTTTAAAAACAGTAAAAAGAAAGAAAGAAAGAAAGAAAGAAAGAAAGAAAGAAAGAAAAAAAGAAAGAAAGAAAGAAAGAAAAAATAAAATAATATATTTGCAGGTATGCTTGGCCTGCGTAAAAATTGATATAATTCAGGGGTTTTCCACCCTGTAGCATGGCACTAATAGGCCTTCAGCCAGATAACCCCACTGGAACAATGAAAATCAGTGTATAAGAGGCTCAGCTCTTCCATCATATCCAAAATAGTTCTGAGCAAAATTCCGTTTCAGTATTTTTCCTTTTCCACACGGCCAAAGATCGACTTCATAAACTCTTTCACTCATATAACCTACACGTTGAGACGTAGGCTATCTGTCATTTTGTGCCAGTGGTCACATGGCTTTGGCCCTCAGGAATGGATAGAGATGGATCCCGACGTCAGCTTGTACGTCTAAGGATTTCTGCTCCACCAGTCTGCCTCAAAGTGACTGGAGCGCAGCGTCGCGGAGGAACTATGCAAGGATTATTATAGGACGTTTTCAGCCACAGAATATGGATTTTGATGAACGGATCTCTGGCTCCAATATGTATTTACCGAGTTGCACTTACTACGTCTCCGGAGCAGAGTTCTCGGGTCTCCCTCATTATTTAACCCAGAGCCAGTCCTCTTGCCCCATGACATACTCCTACCAGTCCTCAGCTCTGCCACAGGTCCCATCCGTGAGAGATGTGGCTTTCAGAGACTATGGCATTGATACTTCAAGTAAATGGCACCACAGCAGGGGGAGCCTATCGCACTGCTTCGCTGAGGACATCGTGCACAGGGAAAGCTGGACGAGCCCGACCTCTCGGGGGGGAGAGATCCTGGTGAAAGGCAGCCCCAGCGCCAGCCACTGCAGCTCCTCCAACCCGACGCCCAGCTTCTATGGCAGCGTTGGCAGGAACGGGGTCCTGCCACAGGCGTTCGATCAGTTTTTCGACACTGCCTACGGGAGCGCAGAGAACGGCGCAACGCCGACGGCACACGCGACAGACACGGAGAGACACGCCAAAGCAAGCCCAGCTCCTGCGCACCCGGGCTCCGACACGGCGGAGAGCTGCAGCCCCAAGTCGTCCTCCGGCCACGGCGAGGAGAAGCAGAGCAAAAGCAGCAGTGAGTGAACCTGCTTAATGCACAGAGAAAAATCTTACGCCTTGCTCTTAAAGCTTTTTATGTGCAGTTTTATAAGCACGTAAGGTTTATGGAGGGCCTGCAGATTTACCCTACAACAAAACTATGTTATAAACGACAAGATCACGTGCTTGGGATTGAAATTGGCCGTGAAGACTTTGGCGTTAAGCTCGTCTTCAAGATTTCCAACATGGCTTCTGTTTTTTCTCCTTCATTTGTGCGCTTGTATGGACTTTTACAATTACCTTGTAAAACATTTATATGCCAAATGTTAATTTTTATTTTATTTTATTTTTAAAAAAAATACTGCTGACATAACAGCCTAACAGCGACCTAGATATTTTAAACACACCACAGAGCCTCTGCATTGATTATAAGCCATTTTTGGATCATTTTAAGATTTAGCCTTCTTGTTTATTCCGCGCAGTGTAAAGTGGAGTGCGTTGGGCGTTTAAATCTGACTCTGGACAAGAGTTTAGGCTTAACCCTGCGTCTTTGGATAAATATTTACAAATTCACTGGATTTGCAAGGCTTTAATGCACCAGCTGCTTTCCATGACAGCATTTACAGTGCTAAAGCTAAAATAACAGCTCTCTACCCACAGCGAGATCAATAGGGAACAGTAAAAGAATATCAGATACATGATACTCCCATGTGTCGTTTAGGCCTACGCCTTCAATCCCCAAAACAGCCAAGATGATCCCCCC